GTCTTTTCCAACCTAAATGATTCTATGATTCTATAAAGTATACAGATTTAATGGCATATTAAATGATTCTTTTTCAGCTCAGTGCAGAATTGTTTTCTCTTAAGGTTTTTTTTTTTAATGCTGTATAATCCAGCTTGTAGACAATCCCCGGCCTTTTTATTACTTTCTTGGAAGGATTCCTGTAGGTAAAAAGCAATGCGTTCAGAAGATAACTGTTACTCAGGCAAAGGAGTTTTTATTTTTTAACAACTTTTTACCATATATCCCTCCTCCTTTAAATCAGTGGCCACCAGTTTTCTCTTGGCGGTGGGTAGCAATACAAAGCAAGCAGTATGCTGCATGAAACATCACATTTTGCTTCCCAGCCAACCTGGGCATTTGTGACAGCTCCTTTGGGTCCAAATATTTCCTTACATTTCCTGTGAGCTGTAAGACTGTGGATCAGAACTCTTGAATATTCTTCTTTTTTCTTGATTTAATACTCAAAATGTTTAGATTACTATCTTGTTTTCTTCTGTTTATTTTGTAGTAGAGCTGAACGCAGTTTGGTAACTTAAATTAGAACTGTCTTTCTGCCTGTTACTGCAGCTCCCAGTTATTTGCTGCCTTGCATCAGTTGCCTGTATTTGCCATGTGAGATGTTGTTTCATGCTAACCAACCATTACGAGGTGGTGGTGTCTCAGCTGTGATACTTCAGTAAAGAGGAATACAAACTTTTTATTGTCTTCTCTACAAATGCTATTCCTAATATAGTTAGATTTTTTTTTTTCCTGTCTTGAATTGTGAGCTGATGTCTAGCTTGCTAATACCTTCATTTCTTTAAAAAGTAGCAGCTTCTGTTTAGTGTGCATATTGCAGAGATGTTTGTGATTCAGGCTAAGTCATAGTTGCTGCCCGTGATCAATGTGTGGCTCACTTAGGATTAGACAGAACAATGACTATAGAAGATCTGTTTCTTTCTTACTGTGCCATCCAGGGAAAGATGACAATGGTCACCCTAAGTATTTGTAATTCAAACATTAATTTATTTAAAAAAAGACCCAACCCCTTAGTTCCTCCTAAATTACATTTTTGTGCCTCGAAACTTGTCTGGTTTTCAGCTGATGTAGACTGGTGTAATAAGGTATTCCTTTTCTCTGGGGGAAAAAAAAAAAAATCTTTGAGATTTTTACGTGAGAGACTTTGGATAATATTTTATGTCAGGTTTTTATCTTTTCAGGATTTCTTTGCACCTTTAAAGTTGTGGTTATTAAAACACATTAGTTGGTCTATTCATAGATTGTTTCCTTTTCAAATTAGGGTAATGTTAGTATGCTAAGAACAAGTTTTGTTCTCAGAGCCGTGTGGAACTATCAGCTAAAATAGGTCCTCAGTGAACTTATTTCCGAGTTAGGACATTCCTTAATCGCTGGGGTTTTTTCATATTAGTAATTTAGAAATTTGACTCCTCTGTGGCTGAGACAAGATAGTCAAAACTTAGCATGGGTGTGAAAATTCATTTGCAAATATATGTTCTCTTGGCCTCTGGATAAATGTGAATACAAATGCATAATTGCTAAACATACAAGGAATACGTGGTTATAGAATGTATTAAGGATTAAATGTTGATGTGCTTAGAAGCCAGTAATTCATGACCGATCATATGCTAGTTTCTGAAGAATGTGAATTTACTCTCAAAACCGGGAATAAGGTTGTGGGGTGGTTTTTTCCCTTCGCTTTGACTTCCACCCTGTCCTACTATATAGTATTTCGAGTGACCTTCATTCTAATCAAACTGCTGTAACTAGTTCTAGTTCTTTGTTAACCCCTACTTCTGACTGTTTGGGCTTTTTTAGTAGGTAGTAACTTTATTCCTTTATTTTAAATTACTTGAAGATGCCTTTCAGGAGTCTGTAATAAAACAAGTAATAACTTTTCCCTCAGAATGAAACAGCACAATACCAAGCAAATCTATTGCATCTTCCAACTGTAATTATCTTCTCACTAAAGAATAGGGATGCGCTTGCATGACCTATTTTGCCTAACAACACTTGTAATGATTTAATACATATGTACTTCCAAGGTGAATTTGAAACACCAGTATATAGTGAATGTTCCTGCATCTCAAACCAAAGTATCCTTAATTGTATTCGGTTCATAAGTGGTAAGACAGGAAAAGCATGTCTGTCGTACATTAACAAAGTTAGCCTGACTCATCAGTATTCAGTTAGACATGATGTGTTATTTTGTGGGTTTTTTTTTTTTTTTCATTCAGTCAAGACCATTGTAGTGTTTTAAAGTTTGTTCTTTCTTTTGGTTCAAAAAAAACCCATTTGCATACAGAAAACTAATTTTTAGTGATATTTCTTAAATATTAGAATACTGAAGAGAGTGTATTGCCTAATGGATTCTACAGAGCATCAGAATAAAGTCAGGAAAATTAGTAGCTACTTTTTTGCAGGAAACAAGATACCAGTTGCTTCAGCTCCGACCTGCGCAGCGAGCATCATGGATTGGTTATGCTATTGCTTACCATCTGCTGGAAGACTATGAAATGGCAGCAAAAATTTTAGAGGAATTTAGGAAGACGCAGCAGGTAAGAGGAAAATATAAAATTCCTATATGAATTGCTGCTTAAGCCAAAAAAATAAAACACTGCTTCCTTTCATGATGTGAAAACTTTAGGCAGTTTCTTTAGTCAAATGAATTAAATCCCAAATGCTTTCTAAAAGGCTGAACTTTCTCATGTGTCTTGCTTTCCTGTGTAGACATCACCTGACAAAGTAGACTATGAGTACAGCGAACTGCTGCTGTATCAAAATCAAGTCCTCCGGGAGGCAGGACTATATAAAGAAGCCTTGGAGCATCTTTGTACCTACGAAAAGCAGATCTGTGATAAACTGGCTGTTGAAGAAACAAAAGGTAATTACTTTTTGAAGGTACATTTAAATGCATAGTATATAATGGAATGCCTGTACTGTCAGCTTTGCCCATCTTTTGGAACTTCATCTTTGATTTGGTTTTAGATTAATTTATTTAATTCTGCTGTGGTAAAGGACTGCTTGTCTTGCAGCTGTTCGGTGCCTATCACACTCTTCTCCCGGGTTGATAAGACATCAGTAGAGTACGGACATACTGTTCTGAAACTTTTGAGCAGACGGGCATTTCAGACCGGTGATCCTGAATTGATGTCCTGAAATTCTGTTTGGGTAGTGTACCCAGACCCATGCTATTATAGCTTTGATAATGGCCCTGACAGGGAGACCACTTGCTGAAAGGGCAGAATCGTCTGTGGCAAAGTAGGCGGCTTTTAATTATACTCAGTCACTCCTGCAGTGTGTGGAAGCAGGCCCTTTAGCTGAGCAACCCAGCACAGGCTTCTGTTACTGTATTATTATAATCCTAGTGTATAATATTATAACAGAGCGATATAATACTGTATCTTGTATTCCATAGCTGGAATTGCAGAGCGATAGTACTTCATTCTTACGGCTCTATTAACAGGTGCACTTTTTCAAAGCATGCTTTGTTCCTCTTCTGCTTGATGCTTGTACAGTCCTTCTGTGAAACTTCCAATCTATTGAAGGTACTGTTTGTTCATGGCCCACACTGGAATCTGTTTGGATGATTGCCTGAAGCAAAGAGAAGAAATATTTTTACTCTATTTTTCATGTAGAAGTTGTAGCTAGCTCCCTATTCCTGCTAATGGTGATCTCACTGTCTTGTAAAAAGAACCTAGGAATTGAGTAGTGACAGTATTATGGAGGTTGTGTGATAATTTCCTCAAGGAAAATGATTGCAAGAGACTCTACACTGTTGCTTAATACATTACTTGGTTTGCATATACATGGAAATGGATGTAGGGATTACATTATTACGGACCATTTTTTCAGACACGGTAGCGGGAGTTTTGGGTTTGGGGGTGGGGGTGGGGGTTTATGACATCTCTTATCTGAAAGATCTTTTGACATACTATGTATTTTTTTTGTGGACGGTCTGAGGCTGGTACTGAAGTAGGATTTTCAGATAGGACTTCACCAAAAAAAAAAAAAAAATCCCGAACCCTAAAATAAAACACAAAACCTTCTAGACAGTTATCAGAAGAAAAGGATGGAAATACTCTTTGCAGTCTGTGTGCTTTCAACAGGGTACAACTGATTAATTTTTTGGGGCACAGCTGCTGTTGTGTTGTTAGGTCTAGCTTAGCTACTGTACATACTACAGAAAAGCCTGCCAATAAATGAGTGTTGTCTACAAATTTTAAGTGTATGTGCAAAAGCAGTTGTGGATGAAGTACAGCTGAGAAGCAGTGAAAATAGTACTGGCATTTGCCACCATTAGATAAAAATTATAACTTTCCCCTCGGGGAAAGAATTCAGGTTTATTTTCCAGATTCTGTCATTCTCAGCCAGTGAACTATTGATGTTTTCCCTGGCATTAGATATTGCATGTAGCCCGCAAGTTATCCTATCTGTGGGAAGCAACATCTCTTGACAAAATTATGTGTCAGTTGTGTGACATAGGGAAGACGAGAGGTAATGCTGACTTGCATTTTCCTCTTGGAACCGGATGAGAAAAATCTTACCTTAAGCTCGAATGACACATTATCACCTCTGGTGTGTAATCTTTTAGTGCCTAACATTTGCCAATAGCAAAGCTTTGTAAAATATGGTTTCCCATTGTGAAGTGGGAAATTGACTTTTGTTCCAACTCCAGCACCAGCAAAGATGCCCTATACAGTTGTTAGATCTAGACTTTACTTTTAACAGTTGTATCTTGTAATGAAGTGTTATTAAAAGGAAACTTGCTTGCAGAACCTTGATAATTCATTAAATCGGATCAAGGGCTTGATTTAAAACATTGAAGTTAGTTTTATGAAATACCAGACTGAAGAACCATTCTTTTATTTGCAGCTCTGCAATTTCAATTTGGTATTCAAGATGCTATATACATGAAATACCGTGTACTGCTTTTAATTGCCTTCTGTAGTAAAAACTGCGCTTAAAGTAACCAGTCGCTTCAGTAAGTGAGGAAAAAAAAAATGCGCACCTTGCCTTAAACATTAAATTTTCAAGTAAGTTTCAAGAGTTACTGATTGAGTTGTAGCATCTTATTGTAATTGCACCTGTTGTCAAAGTAAAAGCATCTCTGTCAGCTGGTTTGTGATGCCACTGTGATCATTTTTTTTCTAAGAATTTAGAATCTGAGTGGAGTTAAGGATTATCTAATCTTTTACTGTAGAGAGATTAATATTACACTGCTTCAGTATCTTGTTACCTTAATTTAAAACTTCTTGGATTTCACACAGGAGAACTCCTGCTTCAGCTTGGCAGACTTGAAGAAGCAGTTGAGGTCTACAAAGGACTGCAAGAAAGAAATCCTGAAAACTGGGCCTACTACAAAGGCCTAGAAAAGGCACTTAAACCAGGTAATGATTTGATATGTTGTAGTAAATAAGTTGTTCCTGCACATTTGGAATTTATATTTTTATTGAAAACTTGTTTTGCTTTAAATAATGAAACTATTACTTAAAAACCTCCCCATTTAAGTAGTGTGTACATATTTTCATACTTTTTTTTTTAAAGAAACTCTGGAAGTATTTCTTTTATTGTTACCGTGTCTTATTTAAAACCAAAACAACAAAAAAATGCAGTAGTCTTTGTGTGTGGTTGAGAGAAGAGAATTGTTTCTTAGAAGACAGTTTTGATTTAGAATTTTTCTTTTACTGTCTCTGTTACCTTATGTTGTAGGTAATACAGGTTTTGGAAAAACAGGCATGATTTTCTTGAACGGTTTTCTTTGTTCAGCATTTTAGCAGGAATTCTTTTTAAGACGTGAGATAAGCAGTTAGTCTTCCACTGCAGGAAGAGGAATTTACAGATACTGAATACCTGAAATCATTTAGTACAGCAGTTTTAAAAAGAGTAAAATGGAAATCAGTGTTCTTTAGGAAGTACATAGTTATTAGTTGCTGTATATTCTGATTCTTTTTTTTAACCAGATATAAATTGCTCCCCGCCCCCTCTCCCTTTCTTGCCAAAAAGGAAGGAAAAAGTAAACTGTAAAATTCTGTTCCAGCTAATATGATGGAGAGGCTAAAGATCTATGAAGAGGCCTGGACTAAATACCCAAGGGGACTAGTTCCAAGAAGGTTACCATTAAACTTTTTGTCGGGTAAGCGCATTTTTGCTGAGCAGGTAGTGATCAACACTCATGTTTCTTAAATACTAATGTTTTAACAGCATAAACAGTCTGCAATTGGCAAGTAATGTGTGGTAAAACAAAATCAACAGGTCTTTTTCCTCTCAAGGTGAAAAGTTTAAGGAATGTCTGGACAAGTTTCTAAGGATGAATTTCAGCAAAGGTTGCCCACCAGTCTTCAATACTTTGAGGTCGTTGTATAAAGACAAGGAGAAGGTATGTTGTTGTGTCCGTCCCCCGCCCCACCTTTTTCCATGATCATAGCTGTGATGCATTGAAGAGATGAAGAAACTTTTTTCTTCAGTGCTCACTCCATCAGCACTGTTGTATATTATGGCCTAGTATATCTAGAAGAAATCAAGTACAAGCATACATAGCCTTGTGCCAAGTTGGTAAATGTAGAAAACTAAGATTTACTTAATTATAAGCTGCATAAGTGTTAACCAAGGGAGGCTTGGTCTTAATTTGTTAAAAAGAGGTGAGATCGAGTGCATTCCCATATGTATTGTAATTCACGATATTGCAGAGTTCTCTTACTGAAAATAACTAGTTTGGGTAACACCAAGTAGTTCAGGTTGAAATAAAATACCATCTTGCCCACAGACTTTTTTTTTTTTTTGTCTTGTCTTGCATGTGTAGGTGGCAATCATAGAAGAGCTCGTGATAGGTTATGAAACCTCTCTAAGAAGCTGCAGGTTATTTAACCCAAATGGTGAGTGCTAAGACTGGCATGCTTCATGGGAGTAGTGCCTGGTGTAAGCATTATGTGACCATTCAGAGGCAGAGAATCAGTGGGGAGTGAAGAAATTGAGGTGGTGGGGTTCCCACCCCCCAACACACAACTGAACCATAGTCATTCTTAGAACGGATTTAAGCTGTCAAATATAAAGTCTCTACTCAAAATCTAGTCGCTTATTCTGGAATTTTTGCTGGATCCACAGATTTGGTCACCTTTTTGCGGTTTTGAATTCAAGTATTCTATTTCCAAAGCTTGAATTTATCATTGTCCAGGAAACTGAAATTTGAGAGCTATGTTAAATCTTTAATTGCAGAAATATCAAACAGAAAGGTATAGGTGCTGATAGCACAATTTTCAGGGGAAGGGATTTTGGAGCTTTCGGTGGGGGCTGGGGTTTGTCTTCTTGGCGGTTTTGTTTGAGAGTTAAAAAACTTTGACTGGCAAATGTTCTGTTGCGAGGTATGGTTCTACATGTATTGAATCCAGCCTTCATAGTTTCCTCTCTGGTAGCTGTATGATGGTTTTTTAGTCATTTGCCCAACTGCTTCGTAACGGAAAATCTCCAAGAAAAAACTTCTCTGCATAGAATAGCAACAGAGGATAGTCTTGAAATTTTGGTAGATGGATTATAATGGTGTAATAATCAAGATAGCATGAATGACAATGTAAGTTAGAACTTTACAGGATAGTCCTAATTATTGAAGACGTTTTTACTGAAGTTATAACCAGTTATTTCCCTGCTTTGCAGAAACATTAATGCAATACTTTGTTATGAAATTCTCATCCAAGTTGCCTGTTATAATTTTCCCTTGAATTTAATGCTATAGACTACAGTATAACCACTCAAGACCTGTTTGAATTTCTCCAAGCCTTTCAAACACGTTTGTGCTTTTCTGGTTTAAGGAAATGTCTTACTGTTATTTCAGTTCAATATTTGCTTTGATACTAAATTTCATTCAAATAAACAATTCTGTGCTACCTTAAAATGAATGAATGCATATAATTGCATGGTTAAGTTATACCATAAACTGAAGACCCAGAACCTTTCGGCAGGACTAGAGCCCCCACACCCCTTTTTTTCCCCCCCCTGCAAGGTGCTGTGCTTCATAGTCAAAATTAAGTAGTGAAATGAGCTTTTAAGATTTCAGTAGTATTTTGGATTTCAAACAGAGCTCTCTTAACTTTCAAAACGGACTTATGTATAGGAATGTTTTTTAGGATATGTTTAGGCGAACAGTGACAGTAAATGTGTCAAAGGTAGAAACAGAAAATCTTTTTAAAGCTAGGGCTTGGTACAGCCAGCCTTTTTTCTTTGAAAATATTCAAGTCTATGGGTTGAAAACATGTAAATGCAGAAGGTACTGAAATCCTTTGCATTGTTACTGTGCAACACTTGTGTTTAGCAGGACTCTTTGCTATACCCTTCATCTGCAACAGTTTTAAATAAGAACTCTACATCATGCACTAAGCTGCATTAAAGGACTAGTTGGAACAAAATGCAACACCCTTCTGACCCACTAGCTCACTTTTCCGTTCCCTTAAAACCACAGTATGAGAAGGGAACAGTATGTGTTCAGGTCTTGTCAAAACATAGACTTGAAAGTTAATGGACTTACTTGGATACAGGTGTTTGAAAACACTCCCAGGACTGGTGACAGCCTGATACAGAGTCAGAATCAACTTCAGTGGCTGTATTTATAGCAGTCTGCTTCTGGCATGTTGTTTTAATAAACTGAACAAAACAACTCCCTCCATTTTTCTCCCTCCAGATGATGGTAAAGAAGAACCTCCAACCACTTTACTCTGGGTCCAGTATTATTTGGCTCAACATTATGATAAAATTGGACAGCCATCCCTGGCTCTAGAATATATAAATGCTGCTATAGAAAGTACTCCCACTTTGATAGAGCTCTTCCTTGTGAAGGCAAAAATCTATAAGGTAAGTTTGGCTTGTTCTTAGTGACCAGAGGTTATTTGTTTGTTATGATGGAAGACTTTTACATATGCTTGTACTTTCCTGTAATGGTTTTGATGTAAACATTGAAGTGTTAAGCAAAACACATGGATAATCTATGGAAAATTACTTGGTGAATTTTAGTGAGTGTCTAGATAAGGGTATTGTTTGGCTACTTGGGTTTTTTAGTGCATATGAATAAGCCCCTATGAAGATTTTTAAGTCAATAAAGGACAAGTATACCGCAAAATGTGAATTCTCAGTTTACAATTATTTTTCATATTAAAAATCACGCTAATAAATTTCATTGATGTTTTAAATGTTTTCCATCTGTGCTTATCCTGCCCCCGACTCTAAAACAATTTCTCAACTAAACTGTGATATTGTGTCAGAATGAGATTATCTAAAGTGTTCTTTAAGCATTTCCAGGAAAAATGTCTAGGGCTAAAAGACCTGTAATTCTGTAATGAGGGAAAGTAATTTTTCTGCTTTTTTCTTTAAAGGTCTGTTGCTTTCCTGAAGAAAGCTGTTTATTAAAAAAGTCTAAAAAAAAAACCAGACCCTAATTATATTAAACAGTGAGTGGGTAAAACATGCATGGTTTATAATTACTGAATCTAACTTGAATTTCTATCTCTTTAAGCATGCTGGAAATATTAAAGAAGCTGCAAGGTGGATGGATGAGGCTCAGGCTTTGGACACAGCAGACAGATTTATCAACTCCAAATGTGCAAAATATATGTTGAAAGCAAACTCCATTAAAGAAGCAGAAGAAATGTGTTCTAAGTTTACGAGGGTTTGTTGCATTTAACTATAGCTCTTTTGACTAATGTGGGCCTAATCCCTTGTGGAATAACTTTTTGTGTTAACTTTCCACTCACCTTTACTATAATCTTTAAGTTCTCTTTCAGAGCAACAATGATTGCTTGCTTCATTACTGGCAGTCAGTATCAGGGTTTGAATTAATCTTGGATAAGCATCATTCCATAGTATTAAGTAAAAACTCTAAAGCTTGGATTTGATCATCTTTGCCAGGCAGGAAAAATACAGCATGCCCGTTTTAGAGATAACTACTTTGAAAAAAAATAACTTTATGAGAAGTCTTTGAGTTTAATGTTGATTCTGTAGGATCCTTCAAAGACCTGATAAAGTTGCCTATGTCTCTCCCCTTCCCCTGCCCCCCCACCATGGTAGTAAGTTAGAGAATTCAGACTTCTCTTGTAATAAAATTTCTGTGTGGCTACTAGGTGAGAGTCTTTCTGAGATGTCTTCCTTTTGTGAACAAGCTTTCTTCCCTAAGGCCATGTTTAACATTAATGAAGGAAAGCTGCATATTAGATTTTTTCGGTTTTGCAGCTGCTTACCCGTGATCAATTACCTGGCATAAAAAGTTTGCATTATGCAGATTGCTTGAATTCATGCAGCGCTTTCTGTCCCTGCAGTAACCCATTCTGATAGGTTTGATGATCTCACAGGTTAGTTACTTTTTGAATTTACTTCTCTTGCTGTTATTCTTTCATAACCAAAAGTCAAAACAGCTCAATGTAGTCTCTCCAGAATATTTGGCAAATGATAGTTGTAGAATACTGGCAACATCATTTATTTGTTGTCAGTGGGAGGCAGGCAACAAGCTATTGGGACCTACCTGCAGAAGTAATCCTTTTTTGTTTATTGTCCCATTTTTCTCTTCTCTCTTGAAGAGCAGGAAAAACCTGGAGTAAGGTAGGTTGAACAGGGGAGTATTTATAGGGGGAAAGCTGAAGGATTTCTGTGAAATGGAGGCTGTGTGCAGGCAAACACGGAGGAGGGGGAAGTTCTGTTTTATATAAGCTCAGTAGCTTTATGTGGAGTTTTTAATGCAAAACTGCTATGAATCTAGGTTAATTGACGTCTGTCAGTGCCTTAAGCAGCTTTTAAATGATGTCAAAAAAGCAAGCATACCAGTTGCCCAAAAGTGAATTTTAAAAATATGAAGTGATGATATTGGTCTGTGTAATCTTTTTCATCTCGTTTTGATGTTGTCTAGTGCTCAAATACAATTTTCTTATTTAAAAAACAATAATTAAAGACCACCTAAACTAAGCGTAATGAAAATGGAACTAACCATTTTTCTGATTCTTAGCTGCTTAAGTCTTGTTTGATGCCTGCCTTTCTCTCTCATTTGGAGTGTTCTCCTTACCTTTCCATTTGAATATTATCTGTCATTTTCCCAGCTTTGGCTCTTGGCTGATTCTTGAATAGCCTGGTTTTAGCAAGATAAGGGTAAAGTCAGAATGGCTGCATCCACCCCAAGTAGCTGATTTGGACATTAATCTTGAAAGGCATATGATAAGTTCTACCAATCTGTGCAGGTATATATAAATACCAGATCTGAAAGACGACTGTAATCTCCTTTTCTGAATCAGGAGGTGTCAAAGCTACCAGTATTCCTCTTGCTTTGCCACTGCTCTCTAGTACTGATCACATAAGAAATAACATATTACTACTGTCAGTTACTATGCTTAGCTCAATCGGCAGGTCTCTGGAAGACACAGATGGCAGTTTGAGTTTAAAAAAAAAAATGAAAAATCCTGCAGGTGTCAGTGTCATGCCACATGCTAGAACTTTTCTGCCATCTTTCTTCATGCCGCAATATGTTATTTGTGTGCACAATATTAAAAACACTGCATGAATGTCTCTCCTATCTTAAAGATGAGGAACTGTCACAGTTAAATGGTCACTACCTGGCTATTCATTGTGTATTTCTGACTATTCCCATAAGTGGAAGGACCTAGAGGATTTTTTTTAAATTAATGAACAAAGCGAGTCCCATCTTGACTTCCAGGAGTCCAGTTTGGAAATTTAGCTTTCTTTTGGTAGCCTCTTTATTTGTGCTTTTAATTAGAACAAGATAAAAGGAATGGCAGTTAACAAATTGAATGAAACTTTTTTTTTTTTATAATCCTGTTTTTGCTTTTAGGAAGGAACCTCGGCAGTAGAAAACTTGAATGAAATGCAGTGCATGTGGTTTCAGACAGAATGTGCTCAAGCTTACAAAGCAATGAACAAATTTGGAGAAGCACTTAAGAAATGCCATGAAATCGAGAGAGTACGTATCTAGTTAAACTGCTAAGTTGGAAAACACTAGCTTGAGTTTACTGTGCTAGTATGTTTCCTTTCTGAGCAGTAAGAGTATACTTCAGGTAGCTTCAGGAGAGATTTCATTTTATGTTGGCTACTGGCGAGTTGATTAAACTACCTGTCGTCCTAAAAATGACATTGTAAACTGTGTACTATAAAGTGATTCTGTTAAGTAATTTGAAGATCCAGGAAAGAACAGAAGACTCTCCGAAATAATCTTATTTTTGGCAGGGTACATAAAAATAGGTATTTGGGTACAAACGAAGAGTATATGTACTTTAAGACCAAAAAGAACATGGCTGAGCTGACAAGCCCAGCCTTAAAGTAAGGGAAAGATGTCACCTTGGTTGTTGTTAAGCCACTGTAAAATGTAAAAAACCTATCAAAAATATTTAATATCTTCTCCTTTAAAAAAAAAGAATAATATTAAGGTACAGTTTAAAAGAAGCTATTAGAAATATAAAGACAGAGTAGGAGCAAATAATCAGCTTTTACAAGAAAAGGAATTTACCATGGAGATTACTAAGGCATCTCTCTAGGGTCTCCATTGTTTGATATACCAATAAATGATCACAGAAAGGGAGTGAATAGTGCAAGGACAGCACTTGCAGTGTCTCAATACTAAATGATAAAATGGCACATGAAATGTAATGTTCAACAGTGTAGTCAGTGATGGAGGGACAAGAAGAATTCTTTGCCTATGCATAACTAGTAAAAGGTCTTGCATGAATTATTGCCGCTCAGGAAAGAAATCCTGGAACCATTATAGACAGTGCTGCAAAAAACTTCTGTGTTGGTGTGGAGCAGCAGTCAAAAGGACAGCATTGGGAATTAAGTGACTAGAGAAGTAGGACTTTTCTTCCATTATATAAATCTGTTGTACTGTTTACATCTTAATATCGCACCTCCTTAAAAATGTGCTAGTAAGATACGTGCCATGGAGTAACTTCGGCATGAAGAGATTGCAATTAGCTTGTCATTATTTTATCCTCAGCTTTGACAAGCAACAACTGAGTTTAGGATTAAGTTGTATGAGTTCGTAAGTACATGGAGAAGTTGAAGAGGGGAATGACTTTTCACTGCTTCTCAAACAAGAACCAAGGGGACATCAAGTGACAGAGGAAAGCACATCCTGAACAAAAGGAAGTACTTTCTCAAACCATGTGTGATTTAAGTGTGGAATTCATTGCCACAGTATTTAATGGAAGTCAAAATTATACTTCTGACTGAAAAAGAGGAGTTGATAGAAGAAAAATTCTTCAAGTGTTGTTTAAATACAATGAATGTAGAACCTTTGTCCCTCAAACTACAAATTGTCAGAGGGTAGTTACTGTTAAGAGGTTGTGAAATGGGTGAATTTTGTTTCTGACCTAAGATGCCTTCTCTTCTTTTCACCATGACTTTATTTTTGGAGGGTTTTGTTAACTCCCATTTCTAAAAGTTAGGGTGTATTTGTCAAACAGCAGGCTTTTACTAAATTATTCCTTCAGGGAGAGTGTATTAAAAAGTCAAGGTCAGTATCTGATCGTTAATACTTGCTAAATAATGTTATGCTTTGTTGTGTTAGCATTTTGTAGAAATCACGGATGACCAGTTTGACTTTCACACTTACTGTATGAGGAAGATTACCCTTAGGTCTTATGTGGACTTGTTAAAACTAGAAGATGTACTTCGACAACACCCATTCTACTTCAAAGCAGCACGAATTGCCATAGAGATATATTTGAAACTTCATGATAATCCCTTAACAGATGAAAATAAAGAACATGAGGCTGATACAGGTATTCAACCCTCAGGATTTATTAAATATGCAGTTTCACTAATTATGGGATATTTTATGAAGATCCAGCATTCTTGTAGTTGTCAAATGTAATAACCAAAGAGTTTTGTCACAACTCAAAGTAGGCAAATTGTAACTTGGCCTACATGTAAAAGTAGATGTTCTACTGCAAGTTAAACTAATGCATGTTTTATTTTGGTTATTATAAAACACTGATGGGTTTTGTGGTGACAATTGTAATTCTTAAGTAAAAACATGTTTGTGTTATGAAGTGGCTGAGAAAACATGGAGTTCTCATGGTTGCTGGTCCATGAAGTAACAGATTGAAGCAGGTGTGCTTGGTGGTAGCTCTTTCTAAGCATTTTATCAGTATGCAAAAATTTGACTAGGTTGCAACTTAAATTTTATCATCTCTTGCTTCTGACATAAAAATAATGTTTCTATCCGTCGATGTCTTCTTTTTTTTTTTTTTTTTTTTTCCTCTCATCTCTGATTGGAGAGCAACTTAAGTGATTATGGCTTGGGGCACCTCAAATGGTATGAATAGAGGCTATTGAATCCTTCAAGGGGAATTTGTCAAGTTTTAATATTTCTCATCTCAGTTCATTTGTGTGGCTTCAGGTTCAAATTAAGATAAGTAGAAGTGTAATAGAATTTCTTGTAGCCACTTTCTGATGTGTTTTAAATTAATTCTCCATGCTTTAATTGGAGGGTGGAGAGGATCTGAATATGAATCAAATGTAAGATGTCTGTAGGGCATTAAAAGCAAAGCTGGAACTGTCTATGTCAAAGTGTGACTATTCCACCTTATTAGACCATTTAATTACTACATTAAATGTAACATGTATTGTAATGTCTAAGGAATAAACCAGTGTGTATTGGTGTGCACTTTTATTCCTGACACTGGATTTGTGGAGTCATACAGTAATTGCTTTGTCCTGCCTTCAGCATGTTATACCATTGTTCTAATTCCTATTGCCCTGATTTCACAAAAAAGGAATGTGTGAATTATGAAGCAGCAGCATAGACTGTAAAAATGATCTGTTGATAGTAAATAAGCTTTTACAAATGTAATGGCAGCATTACTAGTTAGTAGATATGTTTTAAAAAAGATGATGGTATCTGACAACTGATTGAGACTGTTAATATTAGACATCAACATTGTCTGGTTTTGCCCTTTGCGTGTATACAGCAAATATGTCTGACAAGGAGCTAAAGAAGCTACGAAATAAGCAGAGAAGAGCGCAAAAGAAAGCACAGCTGGAGGAGGAGAAGAAGAATGCTGAGAAAGAGAAGCAACAGCGGAATCAGAAAAAGAAGAAAGATGATGATGATGAAGAAATCGGAGGACCGAAAGAAGAACTTATCCCTGAGAAATTGGCAAAGGTGCTTACTAATGTAATAATAAAGTAATAGACATTTCTAGGAAAGTTACAGTGAGCACACATGCAATTTGAAAGCCATTCAGATAACTTGTTTATTTTTTGTATGGCTTCTCTTCACAGGCGGCATTGTAAAAATAATTCTTTTTTAGGAATAGTTTGTTGGATATACTGTCAGTAATGTGATGAAACCACAGCTTTTATGCCTAGTTGTAAAAGGCAGCAATTGAAGTCAGATGTTCGCTACCGGTAGAATTATTTTCATGTGTGTTTTGCACTAACTTGTTGATTATACCCTATTTCTAGTTGATCGGATGGAAGTCTTTGTATTCTGTATGTAAGGTGATTATCATTCACTCTTTATGTCCCATAATATTTTTTTATTTATTAAGCATAGACAACCTGTGAAAGAGGAGACATTGAAACACTGAATGCTGTAACAGCATTTGTTTGCATTTTTTTTGAAAAGGGGCGGGGGGGGTGGCAAGGATAAAGAAGCTGTTTGGAAATACTAGTAGACTAGACTGAGATGGATTTTGAGATCTGGATTAAGAACTGTAGAGAGATATAAAGGGGAGGTGACCCAGAAGACTATTTTTGTGCTAAAAGTTGTACCTGTAAGGAGCAGGAAAACACTTGAAAAATGTGGGGAAAGATAATGAAAAAATACATATAGATTGGAAAAATTAATTTATAGTAATATAGTAATTTGTGGTAAAACAGTATCCAAGTACTGATAGATACAGTGTTTGGTATTTTTGCATTACATGTATCATGAATATTATTGGCTCTTGAGGGGATGATATTTGAAAGCTGAGACACTGAACTTTGCTTTGTAGCCAGGAAGCAAGTGACTTAAAAAACTTGGCTAGTCATTTAAGAATATTGTCGGTATTCCCGTTGTTTGGCTCACTGGTTGCAAGAAACAGCACTCTAATTGCAGCGCTAGTTAAGATTGAATGGTTGCTATGGCATGTATTGGAATTGAGCTCTGGAGTAGAGGAATGTCATGGGGTATTCCAGGAAAATCTAGGCAGCCCATAAGATTATAGGGAATAGTTGTAGCTGTATAATGCATTCCTTTGGCAAATCTTCCCTAATTTTATTCCACATTTAATGTCAGAATCATGATACAGACAATTCCAAATTCAGTTGCTTCCTAGTGGCAGAAGACCATTTCTGACATAGTTGGTCACTTGCAAAGAGTTTTCCTGAAACAGTTGCCCCTAGACTTCTTTGGATATGTAGCTTTGGCATTAAAGGCATTGCTTTGTAATCTGTTTTATTATAGGTTCCAAATAGTTTAAGTGCACAGTAGTGGCTGATGTATGCAATCTCATAACAGCACATATAAATGATGCAATTTTTTAATGAAAACTGCTATAGTATATGGTTAGCAGGAACTCCATAAGGTGTCCACCATTGTCTTCAGTTATTTGCAATGACGTGTATTCCTTCAATGTTGCTAATCTGTTATTGACAGACAATTAAATTTTGTATCTGATTCTTAGAGAGTAGCTTATGTTCATAAAAACATAAACATGAAGGACAACAGACAGTTCTTGTTTGAATTACCCCTAGATGCAAGAGATCTGTCTGTAAAGAATCCTTGCACAGAATTAATTTGTATTAAAGCTGTCCATTTACTGGATTACCCTAGTGAAGACCAGGAGACCATGATCAATATCTAGTTACTTCAAGCTTGCTGTTAGTATCTTGGCTGGGAATGTTGCCGTGACCTGGCAGCTTTCAGGAACCTGTCTGAAGCTCACAAGAACAGACTCTGTCATGGGCATAAAGTAGTCGTTTACCAACATCTCAGGCCCATGAGTGTAGATTGGCATGGGGAGCCATACTGCCCATTACAGTGCAGGCTCAGCTGCAGCTGTGTTTACTACTGGTGTGTGATAGCAGGCAAAGACTTGTATCCCTATCAGAAAATGAGATTTTTAAGCCTTACAAAGCAATTTTTTAGACTTGACAGTCTGTTTAGACACTAAGATTGAGTGAAAGATGCAAAATTTGTAACAGAAGAGATTCTAGGCATCTTATGCGTTGCCTTATGAGAGTAACACTCTGATGTGATTCAGAAATAGCTAATTCTGTTGTAGAGTTACTAGGTTTAAACTGTGTGACTTAGTTGTGCGTCACTTCCTTGAATCTGTAGGTTGAAGCACCTTTGGAAGAAGCCGTTAAATTTTTAACACCCCTGAAGAACTTAGTGAAGAACAAAATAGAAACACATCTTTTTGCCTTTGAGATTTATTTTCGAAAAGGTAGGTGAGAAAACTAATGAAAGCAAGCAATTTGCAGTTCATAAAGATGTATGTTAGAATGTAAGCAAAAATTACTGATGAGAGATGAGGAGTCAGTCCCTGTCGAGACACACAGCTTTTCGCTGGACCAACACCCCAGCCCTGAGCAGTCTGTGAAAAACCAAAGTTTGAACATTTGGTGATTATCCACTTTCTTTGCTGTGTTTAAATCTATAAGCAATGAGACTGCAGTTAATTCTCCCGGCTTGCATTTGCCCTAGTTATTTGTTTATGTCTATAGTTCACAGAACTACACACTGTAAAGAAGTGGTGAGCAGCTGCTAACGAGAACTGGTCTTTTGAAACACTTGACTTTTGAATTCTTATATCACTTAAATATTATGCTTTAAAAAATTATGTTTGAATTTACTTACCAGTTTAACAGGCTTAATTCACTGATTGAATAAGCACGTTAGAAAAAATGGCTGTTTCAGTACACTCAGCTTTAATTTCTTCTGATCATTCTAATTGCAAACGCTAAACCCCTGCAACATAATGGAGTGAGTTCCAGTCACAGGTTTTTGAACATATGCCAACACTTTCTTTTCCAGAGAAGTTCCTTCTGATGCTTCAGTCTGTGAAGAGAGCCTTTGCTATTGATTCTAGTCACCCTTGGCTTCATGAGTGTATGATTCATCTCTTCAGCAGTGGTATGTATCTCTTTGATATGACTTCATCTGCACATGCTTCTAGGGGATGCCTAACCCACGTACAGTTGTTGATTTTTAGTTTACAGACTAAAAACTTAGCACAATTAATTCAAAATATTTAATATATTTTAATTTTTAAACAACTGATTCATACTAAAGTATGTTTGTTATGACTGCAGCTGGATTTAGTAGTTATTCCAACAACTACTAGTAAGTCTTTTTAAGACTGACTAGCATGGTGAACCCCTGAAAGAGAGAGTGAAGAAACAGAAACTGCAGAGGAATCTGGCTTTTCTGCTTGCAGCCTGTGTCAGTGTGCAAAGACAAGGCTTAGAACTATGTCCTTTTTGTTAGAAGGTTGGAAGGATTCTCTCCCTTCCCTTGCCCCAAAGGGGCAACCCTTCCTGTTGATGGCTACAGACTAGATGTGTTTAAGAACAGATTTGTATGACCTCAATCTTTGAGCCTGATAGATTTTAATCAGTAAGGGGGAGAGTGTATTGGAGTAAAAAGGCTTTGGCTTTTTCTAAGCATCGGAAACCTTACCACAGTTAAGCTTTTTCCAACCAGATCCAGTTACTTTATCTTTTTGAATTTCATGCGTCTTCCTTTGAGATTTTTTTTTCAATTATATTAGTAGTGTAAACATGACAAATATTAAAACAAATGCGTAAAGTAGATTTTACTGTGATTACCTGTGCTCACCTCTATTAATGTCTTTTTTTCGAATTCAATAGTATCTGAAAGTAAGGATCTGCCTGATGCAGTTAGAACGGTGTTAAAACAAGAAATGAATCGGCTTTTTGGAGCAACTAATCCAAAGAACTTCAATGAAGCTTTTCTTAAAAAGAACTATGACTCACTACCACATAGGTTATCAGGTATTTTGCCTTGCTTCTGTATTTTCTGTGCTTATCTAGCAGTGGCATCTCAGTATCAGCACCAGTGATGTAAAAATCACTCTTTC